AGCCTGTAGGAAAAACATCTCAGTTTCAATGCATGCACTGCTCTAGACACATGGAATGTCTGAGAAACAGCTGCCCCGCTTGTTTCAGAGGGTACAGCTAATTTGCCAACTTGCAGTGCTGCTGCACCTGAGCTGCCAAGGACATCTGTCATGCCTGAGCACACTAACAGAAACCAGGCCCAAACAACAACATTTCCTGAACGGTTCTTTCAATTACAATGACACAGCTCCTTTCATTAACAAGGTTCAACTGCAAGTTTGCTAAATGTGTACTGGGACAAAACCCAGAATCCAATCTGACAAATTGCGTTTGTTCACTTCTCAGGGAGACTGTTCTTTGTCTCCATGACATGATGCTAGTAAAGCTAATAAAGGGGAGATCTTTATTAGATGTGACTAACAATAAAACTGACTCTAGTTCCTAACATTTTGTTTTCTAAATCCTGTTTTCCTCTCCAACTGTTACTCCGTGGAAGGCTTGTAGTATAGGAGTCAAACAAGCAAAGGAAAAGTATCAGGTAAGATTTATTGCCTGGAGTTTTTAAAGCTGCAACCTGTTACTTCAGATACCCAGGCTTGGACTGAAACCTCATTGTGCTAGCAGTCAATGTACACATATTGGGAAACAAAAGAGTAGACTCCCTTCCCATGAGGCTACAATCTAAATGAAATGGAGTTTAGTCAAAAACCAAAAACCAATAGTGACTGACTATATTTTGGTAACAGCTAAACAAAGAATTGGGTTGCACATGGTTTTATTCATATTTATTTAGATCACTGTAGTAAACTACAGCGCCAAGGAAATAAGGAAAGGAGACAAGCCCTCACCACAGAATACTGAGAACAATATTGGGCTATATGATGAAAAGCATTATCTTAATTTGATAGCAATATTTTTGGATTGATATTGAAGGACATTCTGATGACAGAGCTGTGCAGTCTGCTTCTTGGCAAGCAGCTGGAATTGCAGCAATGATGCAATTTTTGTGTAGCTGTCAAACAAGGGACCCTCTCACTGTGTTAGCTGGACTCCTTTGTTGTTATTGTTCTGATCCAATTAGTCACTGCTTTCAAGTTAGGGGATCCAAATGTCTGACTGGACTGAAAGACATACAAGAATAACAGAAACCCAGACTGGTGGTACAAGAGGAAGAACAGAATTACTTTTTTTTATGTGAAGTGCCTCAGTAAGTCAATTTATGCTTTAACTAAATCTTAATTGCACCAAAACAACAGAAAGCAATCTAAAAGGGTCTGATTTGATTTGCCACATACCAGAAATGTGAGAAATGAAACTGTTTTAGATTATTGAATCCAGTAATCTGTGACTATGAGTGAGCTCCCAATGAAGCCTGTTTTAGTTGCCTTGTATCGCAAAATATAGAAGCAGGTCTTTACTGTGAGGGTGGTAAGGCACTGGCACAGGTTGCCCAGAGAAGTTATGGATGCCTCATCCCTGGCAGTGTCCAAGGCCAGGTTGAACGGGGGCATTGAGCAACCTAGTCTAGTGGAAAGTGTCCCTGCCCACGGCAGGGTGTTGGAACTAGATGATCTTTAAGGTCCCTTCCAATCCAAAGCATTCTATGACCTATAAATAACCAAAGCAGCTGATCTCTGCTATTTCCTCTTTATTCAGCACTGGTGAGGCCACACCTGCAGTGCTGGGTCCAGTTCTGGGCTCCCCAGTGAAAGAGAAACATAGACGTACTGGAGAGAATCCAGCAAAGGGCCATTAACGTGCTGAAGGAACTGAAGCATCCATCCTGTCAGCAAAAGCACAGAGAGCTGGGACTATCCGGCCTGGAGAAGAGAAGGTTCAGGGATCTCATCAATATATTTAAATACCTGAAGAGAGGGTGCAAAGAGGATGGAGTTGTGCTCTTTCCAGTGGTGCCCAGTGACAGGACCAGAAGCAGTGGGCACAATCTGAAACACAGGAGGTTCCCTCTGAATAGCAAAACACTGTTTCACTGTGAGGGTGACTGAGAAGTGAGCGGCACAGGTTGTCCAGAGAGGCTACGGAGGTACTGTCCTCAGAGATACTCAAAAGCTGTCTGGACAAGAAGACAATTCACTGATTCAGGAATTCCCATTCAGATGATTATGGTGCAAGAGAAAGGATGCTGTCTTGTGGTTTGTAAGGCTCCTCACACTGTGTTCAAATACCAAACACACCTTCAGAGACAATCCTCTAAACAGGTTCTAAAGTGTTGAGATGTATAATACAGAGATGCCCTTGACCTTCCTGATAACAGAACTGTTGATGACACACCAACAACAGCAAAACTGCTTGTGTCTAACATATTCTAATCTGTGCATGCCTCCAGGTCCCATCCACTTCCTCACAGTTAGAAAAATACTGAGCTATGAAACATACTGAATTATGAAATATCATTCCCTACTTTGCTGAGTACCAGTATGTACATACTTTTATGTTAACTAAACCCCAGTTTATCCTCCTCTGTATTGGTTTATGGCGCAGTTCATCTAAGGCAAAAAACAAACCCTACTTTCTGAATGTAAAAGAAAAGAACAGTAGAAGTGAACATGCTTATCCAGCGAAGATTATCCTGCAGGCTATGTCTAAAACTGCCCAATATAGTTGACATCTCCGGGCTGCTGTCAGCACAGGTAGTTGAGATCAGACTGGCATAGCCATGTTAAGGTAGAGAGTATCATGCAAGGCATGTGCTCTGAACCAAGAACTGTACTACTTTTCCTATCCAATCTAGCCTGTTGAACTAGCTCTGATGTCCACACACTGCACTGCATTGGAACTAGAGAATGAAGCATGTGTTTTATTAAACCTCAAAATGAAAGCATGCTTTTTTGTTACGTGAACAATACCATTCTTTGATGTCTGAGTTAAAGAGTTGCCTACCAAGTAAATGATTTGGAGCTATCAAGTGATTGACCATGAGGATATAGCAAATGTTTATCATGTCAGATATTCAGGCTGAATTTATGTGTAGTGCTACTTCTTTATTATCATTTTGATAATAAATTTGGATTTGATCCTGCATTAAAAAAATCATACAGGGCTGGGGCTGCAAACTCTTGAACCATGCTATGTAACATCTTGGTATTTCTCAGTTTCTAATGACATTACACTCTGCATACTGATTTTTATACTGATTTGAAAGAATGGATATACCTCAAGACCTTTGAGAATTTTGCCATTATCATGTCTCACCTCTTACTAAGAACAATTAGATGAAGGTGATAAAGAAGTAATGCTACTGCAGAATTTCAGAACAGCTGTGAATTAAGTGCCAATTTCAATTCATGCTATGTATTTACTGTAAATGTTATTACTGGGAAAAAAAAAATAGATACTCTTACAGTTCCAGTATGAAGGGTATGTGTTACATAGCAATAGTTTGCATTGTCTTCAATTTAGAAATAGGTTTAAATTACACAGCACTTTTTCACAAACAGAAGACTACAGCCTTCTCATTAGCCAGGCAGGGACATTCTGATTTACCACACAGTTCAGTTAACTGCTATCTGAAATTATGTTTTAATTTCATTTCCATTTCTACATCTACACCCACAGGCTGTCACCAACATCAATAGCAGGTGGACAATCAAGGCATTCCACCCCCTTCCCATCTTCATTCTCTCCCTCTTAAGCCCACTATGCTCAGGCGAGTACATATCACTATGCTACTCCTTTTCTACAGTCAGCCTCTCAGCACCAAGCTTTAACTCTAGGTTATGAAGAATACAAATGAATAAACCAGCTTTCCATCAGCTCATGACTTTCAGTTGCTGTTTTTCCTTCCCCTAGGATTAAGGTTTGACAGCAGTGTAATAACACTCAGCAACATACAATGCGAAATACTCTCTGTGTAAACAGTGCCTATTTCTTCCACTCTTGCTTCCCATTTTGTCTCTGTTTTTCACTTGGCTTGCTCAGTGCTCCACTGTAGTTCTTTTTTTCCCCATTTGATCATATCTTTTCCTGCTTTGCACTTCTACACTCTCCTCCAGACCTCAAAATGTTAGGAATCCATAGCTGGGCCTTAAAAGCAAGATATTCAAATGGATCTGATACCTGGCACCTAGCCATAAATAAAAGACAGATGTCCTAGATCTAAAAGCAAAGGGATAGATTGCTTCATGTAAGTTCATGCTCTTCAAATGCTTACTCTGTTCTAGTGTTCAAGCTGCATGAAGGCAGCAGTTTTGGGGAAAAGGTAATGAACAAAATAAGCAAGAAAATAAAAGATCATGATCAGGCTTCTGAGGAATTACTTTCCAACAAAACACCCTCTTACAACTACTATCACACTGTCTTCCTTCCAGATATCCCTCATTTTTTTAAAATGCCCTTCCATACATTTCTTAATGTCTCAGCTTAAATCCCTCACTCCAAACACCTTCCTCCCTCCATACCTTCTTTTTCGTTATAGCCTTCTTCCTTCTCAATATATCTTTAAGGGTTCTGATCTAGTTACTGTCTTGCTGATGACCCAGCAAGTGCTGGAGGGCATTCATACAACTAGTAAGTGGTTCAGAAGCAGCTCACACCAACAACATTGATAGCACATGCCCAAGTGTTTCCTCTCAAACAGGGACTGTAGACCTAAGACACTATTATGGTGATAATAAACAAACCTATTTGGAAATAATCTTTATAATCCCTTCTGTATTTTCACAGCTTTCATGGGCAGAAAACATTTTGAAACACGAGCTAGTCTGAGCACTCTACAGAGGACACTATTCCTACTTTCCTGTAAAAATCACTGAAGCCCATTCCGATGCATTTTCCCATGCCTCAAAAAAGTGAGTCACTACATAATATTCATTATAAACCAGATGTAAAAACACAAAGGACCACACAGTAACAGTGTGTGTTTATATCATGATACTCACCAAATTCTCGTTTGAACATGTGGCTTCTTCAGTACATCAGCCATCAGCATTTTTTATATTTCTTTACCATTTTCTTTATTGGAACATGCTGGGTTTGCCACAGATGATTCCAAGATACTTACCCAGTAGTGTAAGGTATATTTATTCCCCCTAGGTTAATGCTTTCACATCCAACAATGAAGAGAGTTGAAAAGCACAGCAGAGATACACCACTGCAGATCATAGCCAACTTCGCAGACTCTCTCGCACCAAGTTTCAGTTTTTTTATAATGTAGCCACCAAGGACAATACCAACACCAGCACTCGGGACAATAATCACACCTGCCAGGAAGAAATTCGAGTGACATTAAAACAGGACCTATAGAAATGGTATAAAACATAAATATTGGTTTTATTCCCTAATTAGATGACTGCAAATGCTGCACTAAGATCTCCATTGTCTGATTCTCTGTCAGCAAACTGAGTCAGATTTTCAAACCTCTGGAGCGTTGTCAGAGAATTAATAAAAGCCTCCTTATGATATTACCAGCAGCCAAAACACTATAAGAGAACTATTGTACTGACAAGCAGAAACATTGCTTTGTATTTATTTTAGAATGAGGAGAAGGGCTACATATTGCTCCAGTTGAAGTACTGAAAACTTGAAGAAATCCAGATTTGGACATGAATCTTCTTCTCCCTACTCTTATGATTAATACCAGTGAAACAAAAGTGCTAACCCCAGGCCAGACTCCAGAAGTCCGCCCACCTGGGAGTGCACACGTAAGCCAGGCTGCTAATTCTGCCTTCTAAATACTTTACTTAAGCTGAACAGCACTTTCCTACATCAGCACACTCATTCACCTTGGCACAGCCACATGGAGTATAAACTGATCAAACACAATTAGAGAAATTAAGATACTAGAATTAGTATTTGGGTAAGTTTAAGACACAAAAGATGCGCCTATGAAATTTCTGTTGCTCTGCTGCTGTAGCTGTAAGTTCAGCAACACATCACCAGGCTGTCCTCATTTGTCAGGGCCTGAGGAGGCATTAAATCAGCAATTGTCTTGCACATCTTCACATCTCTTTGGCTTTTGCTTTTCACTGACATGTGAGAAGGTCTTTAAATTAGGGCTTTGCTAATAAAGATGCATTCCCCATAAACATGGTATTTGAACAACTTTGGCAGCTTCATCTACTGGGAAGGAGCTAAACTTTATAATCCAAATTCTTAAAGATGTTGATCTTCTTTTTAAATAAGCCAGTAGGACTATCACTTGCAAATATCTTTAATATTATTGCAAAATATGCTCATTCTCTGACAATTTGTCTAAAGTTGAGGGGGAGATAATATTTATCAAAATGTTGAGATCGTGAAAATAAAAATAAGAGGTAAAAATAGTTGCTGCTTTAATTATACTGCCATCACCAATGGCATTATAAAATCAAATGTCATTTCATGAGGAAGATTCTTACTAATAACCCTGAACAGAATCAAAATCAGTCTTTCTTATAAGAGCAGAAATTAAACGTATAAGTCCTCCTAGGAGAATTAAACGATTTTCACGAAGTTCAAAGCTGTTATCTCTCTTGAGCTGTTATATCTCTCACTTTCAATGACTAAATATGAACAAGGAAAAGAAATAATGCAAATCCTTTCACTTGCACTGAGAATGTTCTCTCTGGGTAAAAATTTTAACTCAGCCATCTGAGTGTACGAGGCATGCCCTGCTCTATGAAATCTGTGACAGAGAAGCCAATATCCATACCAAACACAGACCAGGATCACTTGCAATGCCTTCTAAAACACCTCTGTTAGGTGAACCAAATTCCATGGACCAAATTCACGGCTATCGCAGTTATATGAACTAAGGATCTAGCCCGAAGTAAGAGCTTATTGGCAACAAATTAACCTCAGTATTTTATTCTTCTTCCTTCCACCTTGTAGCTTGGGTTTGAGTGCTTAACTTCTTTTGGAGCTGAATTTACTTTTTCTTTCTCATTCTTTTGAAGGCATGGAAAAGCCTTTCACTAGAACTGAGACTCTGTGTGTCTGTCTAGTACTTTGTAAAAACTGAGCATGTAAATACTTTGCTAGGCATTAGGTTAGTGGTTCTTCCACTAGTGAGTTATCCTGTGCTGCTGTTTTCATCCATTTTCTGCCACACCATGAAGATCAGAGCATTAAAAATGAGAAGAACATGAACAAATTGCCTGCCAAGGCTCGCTCTCATTCAGGAGGATGGAAAGGTAGGATGAAAGCCTACACACAAGATGCATAAAGACCAATTCTCCATGCAAAATGGAGTTGGTGATGGAGCGCTCTCTCTGGGAGAAAGTGGAAGGGCAAGAGCAGATTTTGCAGTCTGTGGAGAAGGCAGTAGAGAGAGGCACTCATTCCCTTCCTGTCAGGAAGCCTGACAGGTTCTTTTGCCCCAAGTACAAACTCTTCATCCTTATGCCCCTCTCTTTCCACAGAGAATGTGAAATCAGAAGTGATGTACTGTCAAAGGAACGCAGCTACTACAGTACACTTCCAGGCGAGTTTCCAGGGAAAAGCAAAGCATGTACATCTAATCAGGACACGCATTCTTCTTTTTCAAAGGCATTTAGAGGAATAAAGCTTAAAATCCGATACTAAGCTGTTGCACTGCACTCTCCTTCATTTTATAATGACAGCTTGGCTTACAGGAATCGTGCGTGTGCTAAATACACTCCTGGATACAGTGCTCCAAGGCAATATCGGCTTTCAGTCAGCGATTTTCAAGCTTTGTCCTTTTTGCTGTTGTCAGGATACTGCAGCACTTGAGACTTGCCACAGCAGCAAGAGATGATCTTAACAGCTACTAATAGACTGGCAACAGAAAACTGCAATATCTGCTAAGCAGGCTACACTTCCAAGGGGAATACTATGGACATTTTTAAACTAATTCTGTCTGGAATACATATTACACCTTTTCTAAAGCTAAGGGTAGATCCAAGACATTTGTAACCATTTTAGCACATGTTACCAGAACAGTGCTTTATGCACTGCACAGTTCTTCCAATTACAAATTATTTGAATTATAACTCTCTTTTTCACATGTAGATCTACTAACAAAGCACCTGAAATTTTAACCTGGATTTGTCTAAGATCTATCTGTACCCTAAAGTCAAAGTTCTTTTTTTCTTTTCTGGACTTAAGAAAGCCTGGAGGCTAAATGCCACCTTCTTTACACACAATAAACAAAACTCCAAGCAAGACAAGACTGGAGCACAAGCTGCACAAGTTCAAGACATAAAGTTTGTCACATGGTATTTTTGCTGATGATTAATGCCAGGTTTGTTTAAAAAAACAGAAAGGAATTGAGACTTAATGAAAGAATTGCTGCTTACGAACTGAGACAGAAAATGATTAATAAAAACTTCATATCAGTCACATGAAAAGATTCAGCAAACACACTTTACTCAGCTGGCAGTATACATACAAGTATAGATGTAGTAATATAAACAACATGTTAAGTCCTCCTCTTATTAACCAGAAGTTTATAAACTGGATATGTCTTTAACTGATTAGCCAGTAGCTACAAAGAAAATTTATAAAACTAATAACAACTGTGGACTTCAATGCTAAGTTTAGGAGTTGGGGCTGTGGAAGCAGTGCTCACTTTTCTGGGTTGCACATCCAGCCTAAACCATTTCATCTTCTGGTTCACTATAATAGTCTTTATCAAGTAATTTATGACAGGGAAAACAACAGCAATTCACACTCTGAACAGGGTCACATCACTTTTTTCTCTTTTAATGTACTGACTGTTGAACATTTTGTCTAGCAACAATGTTTTTGGTTTATCCTGAGAAGGAAGCAACTTATGGAATAGCAAGCCCATCAAGACTCATTACAGTAAAACCCCTTTGCGTGTGTAGCTACCCTAAACTTCTGATAGAATCAGGGTCCCGTCAATCAACGTTTCCTCCCTATATGCAGAACACAGGGATTTCATGCCCTGAAGAAAATCTCATCTCAGCAAGCGCTCAAACAGAAGTCACTACATGGTGCTTTTCCGATGTTTCCTCTCTGCAGTCCAGAAAGTCTCGCATTTCTTCCAGCCACTGCAGATAACATGATTCCCACGTGAAGTCTGTGTGTCTTCTCTCTTTCTTCTGCTACTTTTTGTCTTTTCCTTGACTGATGCCCCTGGGCAGCTTCACCCCATACTTCACACCTATTTCCACAACTCTCCACTCCATCACTCCTTCTCACTCACAGTATCTGGAAGCACAGTGGAGCAAAGAACTAACATGCTTTGCAATTAGCAGCTATACTGTATCTATATGGGAAGTACTATGGAGAAGTCAGAAAGATGCTTATAAAGATAAGTGTCTTTGATGCCGCTAGAAGAGAAGGGACATGATCTGCATGACACAGGCCCCAATTCTGCACAACATTTTGGCCTCTTTCCCTAGGGAAGTTCCCATCTTGCCCTCCTGCAGAGCAATACGAAGCTTAAAATTTAGTAGTTTGTAGCTCTGTTTGAAGTTGTGCTTAGCTGTACATTGCTGCAGCAGCAGGGAAGGAGCTACACCTGCAAAAGACCTGGAAAGACAGGTGGGAAAGGATTTGGGCAGATCTCTGGGCTAGACTGGATTGTTAGGCACTCTGTGAAAAAGTAAATAAAGAGAAAACCACCAGCCTGGAGGGGAAGAGATAACTGAAGGGTGGGACAGATAAATTTTAACTTGTCACTGGGGAAAAAAGAAAGATTAGGATATTTTAAAGATCAAAGAAGAAGCAAAATTCACAGAAAATAAGAACAGTCTTAAAAAATCTTGAAGGTACACAAATTGCAGTAAGGCCTATGGGGTTTCTAACTTGTGTTTGTTGCTCTCCCCCCACCTCGAAGACCATTAATATATTAGAAAATGTCTGTCTAGGCTTATGTAAAAACCCCTAGCCCTTTAACAGTAAATGGGTTCACATTTTACTAAACACATATAACAAACATCAAAAAATGGCCTGAATATCTAACCAAATACATAAAGCTGTATCCAATCACCTGTTCCAACAAGCACATTTTTGGTTCATGCCTACATTTATTCATTTCATTAGTCGAAGAAAACCAATCCTTGCAAGGTTATACTATGTGGCAATGCCTTACCAGTGTAGATGCTGGCATTGGAAGCTGGGATGCCAAACTGTGACTCGATGAACTTGGGAATGAAGGTAATAAAAGCTGTGACAATGGCACTCTCAGCTGTGTATGACAAACTCACAAAAAGGAATGTCATGTTGCTTAAGATCCTGATAGCTGCTCTTGGAAGTTCTATAAAATGACAAAAATTACAAACAAATGTTATAAATAATGAGCGAGAAACAAAAGCAAACCAAAACAAACCAAATTAATTTTCTCTGAGATGGACTGGTAATAATGGCTTGCGAGCATCTGGCCACATTTGCTAAGCGAAAGGGAGACGGCATATTTGGGATTGCAGTCTTCGCTGTCTGTTCTTACCCTTTCTCACTGCATCGCCCCAGGGCTGCAGTCCTACTTTTCACAAACATAACTGAGATCTGCTTTAACAAAACCATCTGAAGAAACAGGGTCTACATAGTAACACTCTAAAGGAAAGAAAAACAGCAGTAAAATGTAGCAATTTTGGAGTTATTCTGATGTCTCAGTTTGAAATTTTCTATGAGATAACATGTCACACTTGTGAACCAACAGCACTGACTTCTGCACTCCACTGGAGGAAAACAGATCACACACTCCCCCCCCCCCGTAACTCTTCTTCAATTCTGCTTGGAAAGCTGAGATAGTAACACCAGAATTTTAAAAGCGAACAAAAAGATTTTTAATTAAACACTTTTCTATATGATTTAAAAGTACCTACATTAGATGCAGACAAAGCATACTGAAAAAATTATGTCAGTGATAACAATGAATCTCAACATACCTTACACACAACTCAATATTCTCAGAAGGGATAAACCAATTAAAAATGAGAACACAACATTAACTTAAATTGAAGAAGTATTCACAGATGCTGCAATTATTCTCAAATCAAATACCAAAACCTCATGAAATTCAGCACTGTAGTTAGAAGAAACACTTAAATAATTCTAAGTTAGTCTGGTAGTGATGTCAAATTATCATCACAAGATGATGATATCTCTATTCAAGACTTAATATTTTCAGATTAGACAGTGTGATTTTAAACTTTTTTCCTTGAGCTTCTACCAAGATTAGATCTTCTTTTCAAGTATTATATCTAACCTACTATGGTTTGTGGTTTTTTTATTTGCTTTTCACTTTGTACAAAAACTGAACGCTGCTTGAATCAAAGCCCATTGAATTCAATGACAAGAGCACCCATTAGAAATATAACACGTTGAGTAAGAGCTCCTGAGTGAGAATTTCATTGATGTTAAAAGTTGTCAAGTCAAAAATCTGTCTTACTTTCTACACTGACTCCAGTAGGTTATCTGTATTAAAGCAAACAGAATTTAGACTCTTGTCATGTCAAAACTTGTCAGGCTGCGAATTAGCACCTAAGTTGTCTTACTGCATTCAGTCTTAGCTTATGCCAGTTGTCAAATTTATACTGAGTTCATTATGAGTACAGGATTTATAATTTTAATGTAAATGCTCCCTTGCTGCCTCTATGAAGAAATGTATTAAATGTTAAATACAAAATTTGCTGGAAGTAAGTAATGAATAAATCATTAAGAAGGATTCATATATTTGAATATTAAGGGTTTTATCACCTACAGCTTTTTTTACAAAAAAAATGTGTCTGCTTGCAGTAGAAAAACAGAAAGAAACAAGATAACAGGAGAATGAGACAATATAGTCAACATGAATATATGGAAACTGTAATGCAACTGTACACCTTCAGAATCTACATTACAGTAGCAAGTACACAGATAAAATAGTATCGGTAATTATTGGCAAATATGATGCATGTTTAAAATACAGCTGCTCAAAATTTCGCATTGTTCAAAAAAAAGAAAGATCCAAAATACCATCAGATGTCAGCCCTGAAATCTCATCAGCTTTGTGACTATTTTGGGGTTGGTTTGGGTTAGGTTAGCTAATGGGGACTTAGATGGAAAAAGAAACTAAGGGTAACAGCCAAGATGCTTTAACCCAGCTTTTGCAAAGCCTCTCACGGGGCTATATGATGAAGTTTAAGAGAATGGCTGCCACAGGGCTGCTGCAGGACAGCTGTAGCAGGATTTCCCCAGGGACAAGGTGCAGGATTTCCCCTGTAGCAGAAGCAAGAGCTTATGATCATACTGCTGCTGCTGCTGCAAGAAAGGAGTCAGGAAGCAGAAAGAGGGGATGCCAGGATTGAGACTGAGCTATTTGGTGGCAGCTGCTCACCTGTGCTGAAAACATGTGGAAGAAAATTAATCAGATAGCAACTTTTAAAGGACTGGATATTAGAAAGAGAACTATCATTTTACTAGGATGATGAACTAAGTGCTCTTTGTAGAGATGAACTGAAAGTTCTTGGCCAAGGGGTGAATTCAAGATCTTTGGTAAATCAATGCATTTAAAGGGCATGGTCCAAATACCATAATATCTGACAAAGTTTGTCTCTTCCTGGTAAAACTGAGCTTCAGGAAAATGTCTGGTTTAATATTTTTGATATAAAGATACTGAAGAACTACTAAGGTAATGAACTGCAAAGCTAACAAAGATTTTGCTCTGGTGCTTGGATGTAGAGCTGTACCTTCTGTTGACTCCTACTTGTATCTTATCTGAGCACTCAGTCTAAAGGTCATTATTAATTTCAAAACCAATTAGTATTTTGAAATTGGATTTCTACAGATAAATAGATAAAACTCAGTGTCTTAGAATAAGCACAAGTTCTCTTACACCCGTGTGAAGGATTCTTCAGGGAACAGCTCTGCTGATTACTGTCATTTTTGGCATGAAATGAAACAGAGATTATTTGTGCATGCTGCACTTGTAGATGCCACCTGAAGCAGTTGAGACTTGAAGTTCTTTGTGATTTATCAACAGCAACTGTCTGGCATACGTGGAAAAGATGCTATATAATAAGAAATTCTCAAATAAAAATAATTATTCAGAATTAGATTTTCCTTGCTTTCCTCCTATGATTAGTCAAATCCTGTGTGACAGAATCTGTATTACAATTCTGAATTCAAAAACCTGTAATAAAAAGGTGCTATAAGTATCTCATATCTTTCAACCACACTAATTCTAGTAAAAAACAAGAATGGTAAAAACTAAGGATCCTTTGTACATAATCATGCATTTAAAACATTTCAATGTCGTATTATCTTTGTGTGACTAGACATAGGCCTAGGTTTTGATTTCAAGGCCATTATTAAACCTGTCAGGTTCTGATTTTTAGGTATTATAAAAAACATCCCTGTCGTGGTTTAAGCCCAGCCGGCAACTTGGAACCACGCAGCTGCTCGCTCACTCCCCGCCCTCTTCATTTCTCCCCCCGCTCCCGGAGGGATGGGGAGGAGAATCGAAGGAATGTAACTCCCACGGGTTGAGATAACAGCTCTCCAGTAACTAAGGTATAATACAAACCACTACTGCTACCAGTAATAATGATAAGAGGAGTAACAAGGGAAAAGGACACAACCGCTCACCACCCGCCAGCCGATACCCAGCCCGACCCGAGCAGCGATCTGGGCCTTCCGGGTAACTCCCCCCAGTTTCTATACTGGGCATGACGTGCTGTGGTATGGAATAGCCCTTTGGCCAGTTTGGGTCAGGTGTCCTGTCTCTGCTTCCTCCTGGCTTCCCCTCCTCCCTGGCAGAGCATGAGACTGAGAAAATCCTTGGTCAGAGTAAACATTACTTAGCAACAACTAAAAACATCGGTGTTATCAGCGTTGTTCCCAGACTGAAAGTCAAAAACACGGCACTGCACCAGCTACTAAGAAGGAGAAAAAATGACTGCTGTAGCTGAACCCAGGAAAATCCCTTTTTCGCAAGTGTGCATCAGAAACAAACCTATGAGAACTTGCAGGTTCCCTCATTCTGTCATTTGAACAAACAAATCTCTATTGACTACATTCCTAAAACTGACATAATCATTTAGTATGGCTGCATACATACCTACACTTCTGTGTAGTAATTCCAATCTTAAAACATCCTCATCTTTCTTTCTTTCTTTTTCTTTTTTAACCAAATACGTAACTAAGAGTAAATTAAAACCTGCCTTGATGGACTGGTTTGCCAGTCCACTGGCAATTTTCTTCCTTTTATGGTCTTTGACAGTATTTTTTCTCTAGTCAGTATTCATTTTCTTTCACTCATGTGCTGGACCACTGCTTGATTCATGGTAAGGGAAAAGCATAAGAAAAATCTGTAAGCAGTACAAATATTCATAAACACTGCTCTAAACAAAACTTTTAAAGCACTATAAACAGAATTTCAATAAAAGCTGAAGCAATTCTGACTTCACTTCCTTTTTTATGATTTAATATATTTTCTTTTATCCCTGTTCTTGTGCATCTAGCCCAAGGTGATGCGATGAATACAAACAGATGAATAAACCATCCCAGTCTACAGCACTGTCTTCTTGTTGTCCATCAGTGAAGCCCCTTGTAAGGGTGACACAGATATTAGCTAAAAGACCTCCTTTCTGCTAGTGCTCCAAGCCTGGACAACACTGTCCATGTCTGCAGCCTTTGAAGGAGGCTGCCCCTGCACCAAGGTCTCGGGGCCAGCTTCCACTCTCTTGGAGTACAAAGCAGAGCCAAGATTTGAGACAGAATTTCTGGTTTGTTTATCAGAATGGAAATGAGCATTTTTTAGTCACATACAACTACTTCAAAGAGATCCTGCATGGAGCTAATCACTGAACTCTAGAATCATATTTTCCCATGTATTTGATTTCATTATCTACAGACATACCATTTAAACAACTTCATTCAACTCGATTCCTCAAGCATTTTCCGGACGTGCCTTAGGTACCTGGGTGGTGGCCAGATCGCAAACAGCCCCTAATATCCCATCAAGAATAGGGAGTTTCAGAGCAAGTTTGATCTGATTGTTACTTTTAACTTGATTTAGAGTGGCTCCTCAAGGCTCCAGCTAACACTGCTCATGACTGCATGGAGTCATGCCAGCCTTTTCTATTTTGAGCTCTTCAAGACGGCCTAAGAAAGGGTATGGGGGGGACTTGCTCAAGGTCGGTGGCACAGCAGGATCGCCAGCCCACAGACTGCTGAACTCCCTGAGATTTACAGTGCTCACCAAGCACCCCACACACAGTCCACTGTCTCCTCCTCCTCTTCTGATCCAGCTAGTGTCCAGATATTGCAGAAACACCTATCCAGATCCCTGTGAAAGCATTGCAGTCAGCTTACCACACAGTCACCAGCCCTTCAGGAGTTTCTTTTACCTTTGCTAATGCCCTGACAAGTGCTATTAACCTGTCTCTGTCCCTGGCAGGGACTGATCAGGAAGGGCATGTGACAGCTGGTAGACAAGAAAAGACAGACATATTCCACATTCCATATTTAAGTAAGGGCTGTGCATAAGGACAAAACTCAAAATACCAAAAAAAAAAACCAAAAACAAAAACAAAAAAACCCCAACCAAAACATAGACTACAAAATGCATGTAATTAATTAATACCCTTCAGATTAGATAAGTACATTTTAGGTAATATATACACGTGCTTTTTTACACTGCTCCTTTATTCATTGTGGAGTAAGTTTCATTACAGTGGTAAGTAAAAGGGACTGCAGATACAATTTCCATGGTACAAAACCCTAAGGGGATCAATGTAATAAATGAAAACAGTGGTTTTGTCTGATCAGGTTCATGATTTATCTGTATGCATGGGATTGAACCGTGGCTTCATTAGAAATCTCCTCTAGTTCATGTTATCTAAGCTGCCTTTATTTCTCCTACTAAACTACATCAGATTTTCTTCCTCCTGTGAACTATTTAATATTTTATTTAATACACTTGATACTTGTCTCAGAAGCATTCTCCTTCTCACATTTTTTACTTGCAACATAGATAAGAAAAGACTGGATTCCAAACCCTTACATCTCAAAACATAAAAAAAAGCAAAGATGTATCTGTATTTTCATCTGATCTCATCTCTACTGTGGGCCAAAACAAAGCTCAGGTCACTGAAGTTGAAGGCTACTTGCAGATGGAACCAGTTTTGGTTTATTTCTTCAGCCTGTACTGCAGCCATTGCAGGAAAAAGGACCCCACCCCTCTCCTGTAATGCTTTTTTGATTCCTTTTCACTCACCTAGAAAACTAACCCATGTGAAATTAGGGCAAGTTACATCAGGCCACGAATCATTTTGCCAGGCTTCCCAGGTAAGACGACATCATATCAGAAGATTAAAACAGTTTCTTTCCTAAGACTTCCCTTACCAAAGCTGCACGGATTTTCAGGGATGACACTGACCTCTGTCATGGGAGACCACAACACCACTGATACTTATTAGACAGAACAGAAGACATGACCTACTAAATCATCAGTCTCCCGGCTACTGCCTAAGTGAAGTTTCTGCCCATCGTGCTATAAAAAGATGAAGCCCTGAAATTCAATGGGAAGTATAAAATGTACATTGCATCTCAGAATAAGCAATGCTAAATGACTTAAGACACAGGCGATCCTTTTTTCCTTCCCATTATAAATGAAATTACCTCAACTGAGAAGCCTGAGGCATGATCTTATGCCATAAAGCCCACTTAAACTTGAAAA